CCTGCCATTCGTGGCTAGGAATTTTATGCAAGCCTTTTTTAATGAGCCTGTCTGAAGTATAAATTTCTCTGGGTTTTGAAGAGCTCACATCCAGAGTTTGCATCTTGCTCTCCCTAATTTCAGTGGCAAGTGCATTTATCATCATTATTTGACAGAGAACTCGAATGGTTAATGTCTTGGATTGATAGTGTGTGAAGGCACATGCCTTGATTTTATAGAGATCTACAAGTTAAGACAAATATTTGTTCCTGAGATCTTGCAGCTTGTGATTGCTCTCTGCATAGAATGATATATTTTCTTTTATCACCGTTTCTGATTACATAAACAAATGAAAGAAATAAACGTCTGTGGGACTTCTTTTTTTTACAACTTCTGCCTAACCTGTCTGTACACTGTTGTACAGTGTGCTTCCATCCAGTCTGTAGCTTGAGTTTCTTGGATATGGAAATACACATCTGATTCTTAAAAACCTTTTGTTAACAGGACATTTCCAAGTTCCCAGACAAAGATTATACAGTGCTGGGTGAAGGTGGAATCATTCTGAGCGGAGGCCAGCGAGCACGCATTTCACTAGCAAGGTGAGTATTTTGCTGTCTGAGTAGTGTATTGTTTCATGAATAAGGAGAATATTATGACTAAGCACTTAAATACATGTTTGCTATGCAGTTGTTATTGTGATACACCTGCATCTTTATTTATTGAATTTTAAGTTTGATGTCAGACACATGCTATGGCTTAGCTGAAGCTGAACCTTTCCCTCCCTGATGCAAGATGCCACTGGGAGATTCAGACCTATAAACGTAGGTTTCTAAGTACTGAAGAAACCCATACAAAGATACAAACAAGAAATATTCCAGGATCTTTCCCTGCTATGACACTTCTACAAAGCAGTTTATATATTGATTAATGATATACTTACTCCCTGTCTGCAGGTAAGAAAAATGAAAAAAAAATTGCTATGTTTCAAAAAGTGTTGCTAATAGTTTTGGTAAAAAGTGGAAAGGAATGGCTAGTCAGTACCTGTGAATAATAGTCTAGTCTGTTTGACCTTCACATGTTAGTAGGTAAATTTGAAGGTCTACAGAACAATAACATAGGTGTTTGTCTTATAAAGTAGCTATGTGTTTCAGCAGAATCACTTAGCTGTCACCAGAAATCCAGTAAAGATAGCTCTGATGTGTAAATGGCCCCATTTGTTTCTGTGCCAAGTGCAAATTGTGCTGGTTCCCATGCTCAGAAACTCTGGGTAGAAGTAAAATCACATTATGGTGATCTACACTGGCATCCCATGAACGCATGTCTGTGTAACAGATGTCCCAAATGTCCCAAAGACAGTGGCTGTATCTGCTTTACATTTTGTTTGGGTTCCAGCCTAAACTCAGTATACAGCAAGGTGTGCAGGTGTTGAGGTGTGAGGTGCAGATGAAGCTCTGAAAAAGCTAGAGGAGAAAATTTAGGATTACAACCAGGGTTGTACCCATGTGGACTGGTGATAAGCTGGACATTATTTGCTTGGACTGACTGCATACATGTGTCTGGGGCACTCTGTGTGGTCATATGAAATCAGAATCCCTGCTGGAAGTGCCATCAACCAGCCATCATGGGAAGCAGATGGAGATTGTCTGAGTCCCATCTTTCTTATGGTGCTCTGCCAGTGCCTGCAGCTACAACTGGGGGAAAGGACGGACCAAGGGAAAAAAACAGTGCATGACCTGGGTTTGAGGTGGCTCACTGGCCCAGTACCCTAAAGGTTGTCATTTGTAACTACTAAATCCAACATACAAATTATAGCAATAATTTGAGTGCCACCATTATTCCAGGAAAAAGCATGCAAATCTTTGCTGATCAAAGTGCCAGTAACAGTAGGAACTTTTTGTTGTTGTGCAGCCACTATATCATAATGTATGGTCAGTGAAATCCATCATGACGGAGGATTTTTCAACAAGCTTGCTTAGTTTATTAACATAATAGACTATTATTGAGGGCTTTTTTTCCTGCTTGTAAAATATTTCCACATTGTTTAACACAATGATTTTCAAATTCATTTTTAGAGTACTTTAAAAAGTACTGAAATGCAGCTTCCAAATTTTCTTTGCTAATTATACCTTGATTCATATCACATCACAATTTTCATACTCACAAAGGAAGGCAAGGGACCTTTTTGAACTTCTATTGAGATTGATTTTTAAAAAACCTCTTAACCACAAGTTTAGGTCTCAGTGAGCCATGTCCAGGCATGTACAGCTTAAGGTCCTAATGCTACAAATAGTTTTTCATGTCTTTATCTCAATATATTGTACAAGTCCCACTTCAGATAATGTTTGCAAGCTTGTAGCTCACTAATACACTTGTCTTTGCTCACCAATTATTTCAATGTACTTTTAAAATGGAGTGCTGAGACCAGAGTCTTTTCACACACTTATTTACATATATGTAATATTCCCTTAGGCCAGTAGACATTATAGGAGGTACTGAATTCCCATTTAAATGCTCATTGTGCACTGGTGGGGACTGTCAGATTCAGGCCATAAACAGAACTTTAGAGTAAGCTGAGAAAAGGCAGTGGTATAGCTTCCTTTGCACAGAAATTAATGGAAAACTGAGTTAGTTTGTAATGTGTTCTGCAGCAAGGAAGGTTTTTATTGAAAGATGTCTTATAAGCACATTTAACATCGAAGTCCATCTCCATATTGAAGCTGTAGAAAAGTCTATCAATTATAAGTTTTTGAAAGAAAAATGTAAAGGCATTCTTTTAAAATTATCTTTATGTAAATTCATAAGACCTGTGAAAGTTAATGTAATTTCAATTTTTTTCTGTTTAGAGCAGTGTACAAGGATGCTGATTTGTATCTCCTGGATTCTCCTTTTGGACATTTAGACATTTTTACAGAAAAAGAGATATTTGAAAGGTACTGCATGTTTTGATAGATTGTATTTAAAAATCCCACTGAGCAGCACAAAGTAAAACCAAGAACAGAAATTTAATAGCAGTACCAAAATACTGAAGTGATCAGAATTATACCTTTTGGGGATGTTTATTTTTAGGGATTCTCATGAGTATTTTGTGTTAGCAGCAGGACAGTGCACTGTGCTGGGAACAAGCCAGAGCCAGGTGTGAGCATTACTGCTCCTTCTTCAATCTCAACGTCTTTAGCCTTCTGTAGTCTGTTACTCCCAGAGTGCATGGCTTTATATCTGGTGTGTCTGCATACTAGAAAGGCTTTCATTGAAAAACACCTGCTTTGTAAATATAATTTTTTACAAAAAGCTCTATTTTGTCTTGGTTTTCTGATCACTAAAAGACTGTTCACCTGAAAGTGCCCACTGACCAAGAGATTGGAAGCAGGTTGGTCAAAGACAGAGAATTCTGGCATGTCCTGGTGGCGTAGTTCAAAACAGTGAGGACACACACTGCCATCTATGATCTTTCCAGTCACCAGAAGTTTGAAGTTTTAAAATCAAGCTAATACTTTTAAGTTTGGTAGCAGAATATTTAAGTAACCCTAAGATGCAAAGAAATACTTAATTTTCATGTTGAACTGTGCTTTTTGGATTGACCTGAATATGGTTAAAGTTTTCCCTCTTTTTTGGTTCCCGTGATGAAGTACTCACTCTTTACACGTCTCAACCTTGCCACCTCCTCTGTAGTTTGACTGCTCAAACTGGGAGGGGGGCACATAAAAGCAAATAGATTGAAAGTGAAAGGGATAAAACCAACATTTAGTCATGAAGGAAAAAAATCTAATTTTTAACACTTTCATCTTTTAAAGCTGTGTGTGCAAGTTGATGGCGAATAAAACTAGGATCTTGGTTACGTCAAAACTGGAACACTTAAAGATTGCTGACAAAATATTAATTTTACATGAGGGGAGCTGCTATTTCTATGGAACATTTTCTGAACTTCAGGGTCAACGTCCAGACTTCAGCTCAGAGCTGATGGGATTTGATTCTTTTGATCAGTTCAGTGCAGAGAGAAGAAATTCAATTCTAACCGAGACTCTCCGGCGATTTTCCATTGAAGGAGAAGGCATGGGATCACGAAATGAAATAAAGAAGCAATCTTTTAAACAAACATCAGATTTTAATGACAAGAGGAAGAACTCTGTAATTATTAACCCCATTAATGCAAGTAGGAAGTTCTCAGTAGTGCAGAAGAATGGGATGCAGATCAATGGGATAGAAGATGGCCACAACGACCCACCAGAAAGGAGGCTCTCACTGGTACCTGACTTGGAGCAGGGAGACATAGGTCTGCTCCGGAGTAACATGCTAAACACTGACCACATGCTGCAAGGTCAGAGGAGGCAATCTGTTTTAAACCTGATGTCGGGCACCACTGTGAACTATGGACCAAACTTTTCCAAAAAGGGAAGTACATCATTTCGGAAAATGTCTATGGTGCCTCAGACAAACCTTTCTTCTGAGATAGATATCTACACTAGGCGCTTGTCTCGAGACAGTGTCTTGGACATAACTGATGAAATCAATGAAGAGGATTTGAAGGTGTGTGTTCATTTACATTCATCTTGGTTTCTGATATAGGGATAGGTTAGTGCAATATACTCCTTATGTATTTTTCTACCTGTCAGTGTCATTCCTAATGCAGTACTTTTCTGTGAAATATCCTTTTGGAATATCTGTGGGTTTTTAAATTCAGATACCATCTTGAAATAATTGAAATCCTAAAAAAATTATTTTGCCTGATTTTTTAATTGTTTTTGAATGCTATCTGTAGAGGACTTCAACACAGAATTTTAATCTCCAGCACTTTAATCTACCCTTAAGATTACTTATGCTAAAATGAAACTTGAAACCATAACATGGAAAAACATTATTTTAAAATATTTATGTAAAATTGGCATTTGGAGCATAAAGGTTTATGGAAAAAATAAAATACATTTGAATTAGCTCAGTTTTCAAAACTGGACTTTAATCAAATTTGACAAATCTGTCAGACTGCTTAGCTCTTATGTTCTGGTACGGATAATGAACAGAAGAGTAACCAGGGTTTTACTGTTTTTATGGATGTGCTGGAAATTATGCAATTAAGGTACAGTTTTATTCCAAGAACTGGACCAAAGTTACTTTATTTCTAGTAACTGTCAACTGGGCATGATAAATAACTCTCATTTTCAAAACTGACAGCTGATTTTTACAGGATAGGAAAATTTTCTGAAGTAGTTTCCTAGGTGGAAAAAAGTCTACAAGAAATACTTAAACTCATAATTTGCTGAAGCACAGCCTATTGTTTCTTTTGCTTTATTGATCTCAGCAGAAAAAAAACCCCTCAGATTATCTACATATTTACTCTCACATCATTCTGACTATGGTCGTATCAATTCTTTGCCAGGAATGCTTCACTGATGATGCTGAAAGCATGGGCACTGTTACCACATGGAATACCTATTTCAGATACGTTACCATCCACAAAAACTTGATTTTTGTTCTAATTTTGTGTGTTACCATCTTCTTAATTGAGGTAAGAAAATCTGCACTTGATGACATGTTACTACAAATGTCTGTTTGAACTGTTGTTTGTGATAAAAGGTTAAATGGATAAAGCATCAAGACATTAGCTTATGTATGTTTTGCTTATTGGCAGCTGCTGTTAAATGATATAGCAATGACCCTTTAGATGAGCATTTCTCACCAAAGATAGTGATTAGTGCATGACAGCAGAGGACCCACCTCCTCAAATTATCTCGGTTATTTTCTGCTATGTGGTAACATAAATAAGAATTGCTGGCCTATCTATGCAGGTATCTTCTTCACAGGTGAATAATCTTCCATTTTCCACTTCAAAGATGATTTTGCAGAGCTGTAGGGGGTTAACAGTAACAATTACTAGATTTTTTTAATGAGCACATACTTAAATTCTGGAGAATTGCTTTAAAAGATGAGTTAGTAGCTTTGCTCCTAGTGAAACGAGAGTGGTGAGCACAGCTGAATGCCTGTGATGGCATTTAAAGATGGATGGGATGTTCCTGCAGCATGCAGAGAATGCTTTTTCCAAGTACAGTGGAAAATGCTGTCAGAAAAAGTATTGCAGAACATCTGCCTGAACATGCAAGTCTGACTGTGTTTTCTTGTAACAGGATTTGCCTGCTTTTTGTCTTGTCTCTCAGTTTAGGAAAGACTTTTAGCATATATACAGAATGTCCTGATATCCTCTTTTACTATTATTATCCTAAATCAAGTGTTTTTCTGAGGGAAGGAGCAAGTTTCAGAGAGAAGACTGGGAGATTAATGAGGCTGTATTCTTATGTCAACTTAAAAAATATGGTACCAATTTCTCTTGGCATTTTTCAACATGAACTGAAAGAAGAGAAGAATCTGTTAGAAATAAAGGACTAGTTTCTGGCTGATTGTGTCAGTGAAAGGTTTTCAGAAGTTCAGTGGTGGCTTTCAAACTTGTGGTGTCATCAAACATGGAAAAGGATATGATTGATGGTATCCTGAATTTACAGTGGTGTCATGTTGCAGGTGATTTAAATTAATTCTTTTGGACCAGGAATAAAACCTGGAGCTTGGACCAGGAATAAAGCCTCACATTTAGATGTTGTTTGGGATCTCAAATTTTTAAACAACCTCCAAAAGCAAGACAGTATTTAAATGTGTAGCTGTTCTTACCATGTAAGTTTTATTTTCATGGTAGTGGAAAGCGGCTGTGTAAACCTACAATAGCAAAGCCAAATGTGAGTTGTAGGGGAAAAGGAAATTTTAACTTTGAGGTATATCAGATTTATCCCTATATATTCAACATACATTTCTAATCTTGGTTACAAATGTTTGCTTTTAAATGAGACTAAAACCTTTTCTAAATAATTAAAAAGTCTCATCTTCTAATTGAAGAACAAATCTTATGACAAAGGCTGTATCCATCCAAGTTAAACTTTCCAGTGTGACTATTAGTTAAGTAAAAGCCTATTGATAAATTAATGAGCTGGAAGACCTTCAGTCATAGCACAGACTGTGTAACCTTTGGGAAACCTCTGTTCATGAGGTGAAATACCATGCCAAGTGGTCGTGTGGCCTGTGCTAACAGGTTGTACCCTTCTGGCCTTAGACGATGAAGAGAGGGTAGTGATGAACATCCAAGTTCTGGACTGAGAGAGTAGTGACAAGTAAATCGAAAGTGAAGTTTTGACACCCTTCAGAACTGGATGGGTTTTTTGTGGAAATGCTAGAGATACTATTTTAGATTTAGAATGGATTGTTTCGTACTGCAGGTTCCTAGGTGACTCCACACAGCTCATCATAAACAGGGCATCTGTTGTACATTCTTCCCAGATTTGCAGGGTGTCTGTGTGTATAGCTTGCTTAATTGGCTCAAACCTGTGTTTCCTAGATGTAACATCCAGAGATGAGGGTTGCTGAACTGGAAGAAGTGCAGTTATGAATGGAAACATATGGAAAGGCTTTGTGAAGTTATTCTGTCACAATATTATCTACTTAAATCTTCACAACTGAAAAATCTCCTCTGTTGTAAAGATTCCAGATAAGAACTTAATTCTGTTGGGAGATGTAAAACTATTATTGTCAAACAAGTCTGATCCTTATGAATGCTTGCATTTAGGACATCATGGTCAATCTTGAGTTATTTACTGTAAGACCTGCAAAAGTTAGTGGCTACCAAGGCAAAGACTTTAATTATATGCTGAGGTAGTATCGCAATACGTTCCTGTACCAGTGCCATAAAATATATGGGAAGAGAATCGTAGAAACTATGTTTAGACCCTTAGAAAAAATATTATAGGCAGATATAGAGCTGGCTGAAATGTTGTGGACTAGATGAAGACCTTCAGTATCTCAGTGGACAGACAAGAAAATGTGTTACGGCACTGTTGAGCACTGAAGCATCTCACAATAAAAAGGGCTTAATTCCACATTTAAAAAACGTTAAAATAGATTATGTGGAGAATTATGTACAACTAGAAGCCAGGCAGTTTCAGAGAAATAGATATATCAAATGTAGATAGCAGGTAGCATGAACAGCAATGCAAAAATAACAACGTGAAAGGTTTAACATTCGTATTTGAACAGCTGTCTTTGAAGATATTGAGAGACTGACTCTTTTAGGCCCATCAAGAAATAATAATCTTTAAAACTTAAAATATGTTAAAGCGTACAGTGAATGTTCCTTGTCATTAGGAATGCATTAGCAAGCCTTTGTTAATAGTACAGTAAAAAACAATAAAAGAATATTTAGGCACTTGAGAGCCTGATTGTAATACAAGTCTAAATCCAGCTTTCCTGGTGGGATGCACTAAATGGCTTCTGTGGAAAGAGGCGCAGATATGACAAGGTTTTCACTTCAGGGAAGTTTGACTTCCATCCATTTATAATGCTCTCTCTGCAAACAATTACACAGTTGGTGAAAGAAGATAAGTAAGAAAAAGTACATAATATGACGAGACAAAAAAATTGACTCTTTTCTTTGGTCACAGGTAGCTGCTTCTCTTGCTGGATTATGGTTTCTTAAAAAGTAAGTAGTGGTGACATTTATTGAGAAATTGGGGTCTCCTTTATCTTTATTTTTGCTGTAAATAGTTAATAATTTCTGCCAGAACTCTATATGGATAGGCATTAGCTTATATTCAGTAGAATGGTTCATAGGTGGATGATTGAAATACCTCACGTAGGTGGTCTCTTAAGTTGGTACTTTGTTATGTGCTAACAATCAAATGGTTTGTGCCTTGTTACTGAACATAGTGGCACACACAAGACTTTTCATGGGTCAGCTCACTCTAGAGATGGACTTGATTATCCTGAATACACTGTGGTTCACCACTGTCTTTCAGAGCTGCCAGATGAGACATTTGCTTAGGAACATTTTAAGGGAGCAGTTTCTACAAGAGCCCATTTGGACAGTTTCCTCTGCTCACCTATGAAAAATTCCCAGAAGTTGCAGGGCCAGGCAGATAAAGGTTAAAACGTATTGAGCAGCAGTATGGCTTTTCCTGGGTTAATTAATGCTTTTGATCCTTGTTTTTGTCCTGCAGCACTAAGTCTGCATGTTTGAGTATAGGAAACATATGGTGACTTAGGTCTGATCTTGAGGAAGAGGGATTTATGTTCATGTCCCCTTACAAAAGGTCACTAAGGCCTTTGATTTTTGTAGTACACCTAAAGCATTTCACTTCCATAATAATTCACTTTTTTAACGCTTAAACTATTTTTTCATTTTCACAGTAGTTTTGGAGAAAACTGTTGGAAGGTTCATAGTTATATACTAATGGCATAAATTCCATTTTTGTAAAAAACATTCATTGCACAATTGCAACTAATTTCAGAAATTGCTACAAATGCTGAGTGGCACTGAATCACCAAAGGTGTCTGAGGAGATGAATAAGACATTTATTGCCTTGCCTCCTGAACACACACACACAGAGTAACTTTGACTTAGTGGAACATGAGGCAGTTCATAATTTATGTTTCATACATACAAGATAATATTTAAAAAATGACTGGAAATATATATAACGAACCATTAACATAGTTTTAAAACAAATGAACATTGCAGTACTATTTGTTTAATAGAGAAAATAAAAGAAAAAAAATGCATTTATCTTTAATTTCCATCACACAGGACAGCTTTGAAAGCGAATGCAACACAGTCAGACAACAGTACCTCTGACAAACCTCCCGTGATTGTCACTGACACCAGCACCTACTACATCATTTATATCTATGTGGGAGTGGCAGATACCCTGCTTGCCATGGGAATCTTCAGAGGCTTGCCCCTTGTGCATACACTTATAACAGTGTCTAAAACTCTTCATCAAAAGATGGTGCACGCAGTTCTTCATGCACCTATGTCAACATTCAACTCTTGGAAAGCAGGTAACTGAGATGGGAACCGATTGACTCATGTATGGGTGTCATTTCAATTAAACAGTTTTCATTCTGTTAAAGGATACTGTTGCTTTCCATTTACATTTTCAGTCAAGCTGAATGTTAAAAGTTTGCCACATGAAGTAATTTCTGAATCTTTCAATGAACCTTGATTGCACTTTAAGTTTGACATATTTCAGTTGTCAGTTCCGATTCTGAAATATCACCTTATAAGTTGGAGAAAATTAACTGTTAACTGTTTGAGGCAATAAAACTAGAATGACTTCTAATGAATAGACTTTGTCTAAAGCTGCAATAGAAAAGATAGAGTCAGCTATGTGGTGAGTGACAAGGTGTCAGGTGTGAATAAGAAATACTGCTTTATTTCATGAGTAGTCCTACTAAAATGGCATAAAATATCAGTTAGAGTGAATAATAGTATGTGTATTCAAATTTGGCTCTGCAGTTGATACAAAGTTCATTATGTAACTGGTGCAACAAGTTCAATCTCCTGCTGTACATGAAGTGCCTGTCCCATACCCTTCTTACTGGTGCGTACTAGATTACAGGAGTCACTGGGAAGTGATGATACAACATAGGGTTTCTCCTTCATTTTCCCATTATACACTTAATTCTTTGTTACCTGGTGACTACTGCAGTAATTCTGCTCAGAGGCTAAGAAACTGGTGTACAAACACACACAAATGCTGATGTGCAAATCATCTGTGTATCAGCAGAGCCTGCTGCATAAAGGCTACAGACCTTATGCTTTGTGCCTATTTTTCTGTCCTGTTTAATTATGTTTCTTTGTTTTTATTACATTTTCTTGGGTTTTTTGGAGCCAAATTCCTCCCTGGGGAAAGAGCTGTAGCTCCACTAAACTGTAATGGAATTGCTTGTACTAGAAAAAATCTTGTACTTATACTTAGTATTTTGTATTCAGAAACAGTAGTATCTTTTGTTAGAGTAATAACTGTAGGATTTTTAGGGTGTTAAAATGTTTGAGGTTTTTATTCCTTTTTTTCTTTTTTTCTTAATCCATAGGTGGTATGCTTAACAGATTTTCAAAAGACACGGCGGTACTGGATGACTTACTTCCACTTACAGTATTTGACTTCATTCAGGTTTGTAGAATAAACACACTAAATTTTGCTGTCTTATAGCACTGCAAAGTTTTAGTCATACATCATGCCAAAGAAATCACATTAAGAAGAAGAAATAACTTGAATGAAATGCAGCTTCCTTTTTTTGGTCTGTATATGTGTTTGCATAGCAGCTTATCTTGTAAGTCATCTTCATTGCATCTTTTCTTAGTCCTTTCCTATACATGTACCTCCACTGTTTGTGCAAACCCCTCTTAGGCTCAGAAGCATTTTTGCCCTGCAGACCACTACAGTATGAGTATCCCTACTGCTGCCCACATTCCACTTGAAAGGTGTAATGGGCATTCCTTAATTTCTTTCCATTCTCTTGGCTCAAGATTAATTTTTCTTTTCCTGCTATCCTCTAATGGAATTTAGTCATTTTCATGGCTTGACTTCCTTGGCCTCTTCTGTTCCCAGTTTGCTAGCATCAACCTTAATTTACTTCTCTTTTGTTGGTTTTTCTGGGTTTATTTCATCTTCTGTGGAAACTCTTCCAGTCCTGCCTTACTGGGCAGTTTGACCCATGATGATGTGCTTTCTACTCTCAGTTGGGCAATTGTACTCTTTTTTTCCTTTTTTTCCCCCTTCACAAGTTTGCCTAATTTGTCTTTTATCCTTCACATCTTTGTGGCTTCCCCTGAGTGTCTGGGATTTAAGCTGAGCCTGTCAGGCACTAGATGTGATCACTATTTGTGATGGAGGAGAGCTACTTCTTGGAGGAATTTTGCATCCCTAAGAGTTGTAAAATTACAAACGTTTTATTTTTTGGATGGAAAAGCTTGTTTCCAGCATACGTCCTGGGAAACACCATGTATTGCAAAATCTTGAGTTTTAAATGACCTTCCAATTCATCCATGCTGAAGATAACACTGAATACAGAGATAGGGGTGATCCCAGCGCTCTTCAAGGAGAATGCCTTTGTTTGCTCCCCATCCTGCCTATTCTGAGACTTTGAGGCTCTGTGTGGATCCCAGCACCCCTTCTTAGTGTCCCACCACTCATGCTGCAGCACCAGCTTTTCCTCAGATAGAGCTGGTTCCCAGAACATTTAAAAAATAAAAGCAACTATTCGCCGGCCCTCCTGTTCCTCTCCACCTTTATTATAGGAGATGTGCAGGCCCAACTTAGTCAACCCAAACACTCTGCTACACAGATTGCCTGTCTCCATCTGTTAGTTTGCTCTGCTTTGCAGTCCCTACCAACGTGATGATCTGATCAAAACCGAATGCCTTTCCCTATGTTTTTGTTAGTAATTGATAACTTTGGCACATGACTTTAGGGAGACCAGTGCAGCACATGAAGAGGTTCAAGGGCATTGCAACTTTAATTCATGCCCTGCTGATGTGAAGATTTGCTGAATGAGTAAACATGGACATTGAGACTTTCGCTGAATCATTAATGTCATCTTCGTTATCATCAGGATACAGTACTATTTTTTTCTGATGTGGCCATTTTGTTTCTCAAATTTTGGATCTGCCATGGGGATGTTATTCCAAAATTATTTTAGTTAGTCTGTCTCTACATTTCATAGAATCATAGAATGGTTTGGGTTGGAAGGGACCTTAAAGCTCATCCAGTCCAACCCCCATGGGCAGGGACGCTTTCCCCTAGACCAGGCCACTCAAAGCCTTATCCAGCCTTGAACACTTCCAGTGAGGGGGCATCCACAACTTCCCTGGGCAACCCGTGCCAGTGTCTCACCATCCTCACAGTAAAGAATTTCTTCCTAATATCTAGTCTAAATCTACCATCTTCCAATTTAAAGCCATTCCCCTTCATCCTATCTCTACCTGCCCTTGTAAAAAGTCCCTCCTCAGCTTTCCTGTAGTACCCTTTCAGGAACTGGAAAACTGCAGTAAGGTCTCCCTGGAGCCTTCTCTTCTCCAGGCTGAACAGCCCCAACTCTCTCAGCCTGTTTTCATAGGAGAGAAGCTCCAGCCCCCTGATCATCTTCTCTGGACTCGCTCCAACAGCTCCATGTCCTTCTTATGTTGGGTGGCCCAGAACTGAATGCAGTACTCCAGGTGAGGTCTCACCAGAGCAGAGCAGAGGGACAGAATCACCTCCCTTGCCCTGCTGGCCACACTTCTTTTGATGCAGCCCAGGATGTGGTTGGCCTTCTGGGCTACAAGCGCACATTGCTGGCTCATGTTGAGTTTTTAATCGACACATGCTCAAGTCCTTCTCCTCTGGGCTGTTCTCAATCCATTCTCTGCCCAGCCTGGATTTGTGCTTGACATTGCCCCTACCCGGGTGCACTTGGCCTTGTTGTACTTCATGAGGTTGGCCAGGGCCAATCTCTCCAGCCTGTCCAGGTACCTCTGGATGGCATCTCTTCCTTCCAGCATGTTGACTGCACCACACAGCTTGGTGTCATCCACAAACTTGCTGATGATGCACTCGATCCCACTGTCCTTGTCGCTGACAAAGATGTTAAGCATCAGTGGTCCCAGTACTGATCCCTGGGGAACACCACTTGTCATTGGTCTCCATTTGGACATCGAGCCGTTGACCGCAACTCTCCGAGTGCAGCCATCCAGCCGATTCCTTGTCCAGTGAGTGGTCTGTCCATCAAATCCATGTTTTTCCAATTTAGTGACCAGTATGTCATGTGGTACAGTGTCAGACGCTTTGCACAAGTCCAGGTAGATGACATCAGTTGCTCTTCCCTTATCCAGCAATCCTGTAACTTCATCGTAAAAGGCCACCAAATTGATGAGGCACAAATTGCCCTTGGTAAAGCCATGTTGGTTACCAGCAGTCACTGCATCTTCATTCTCCATGTGTCTTAGGAGAGACTTTAGAAGGATCTGCTCCATGATCTTGCCAGGCACAGAGGTGAGACTGGCCTATAGTTTCCTGGGTCTTCCTGTTTCCCCTTTTTGAAAAATTGGGTTATGTTTCCCCTTTTCCAGTCATCAGGAACTTCACCAGACTGCCACGACCTTTCAAATATTATGGATAGCAGCTTGGCAACTTCATCCGCCAGTTCTCTCATCTGCAAATGGATGTCATCGGGTCCCATGGACTTGTGCACCTTCAGGTTCTTTAGATGGTTTTGAACCTGATCTTCCCTTCCAGTGGGCAGATCTTCCTTCTCCCAGTCCCTACCTTTGCCTTCTGTGACTTGGGCAGTGTGGCTAGAACCCTTGCCAGTGAAGACCGAGGTAAAGAAGTCATTGAGCACCTCAGCCTTCTCCATATCCCTCATGACCAGGATTTTAGAGAAGGTGTTATCTTCTGTTTGACTTTACACTTACTTTGTGTTTGGAGTTTATGAGATAACACAAATTTTCATATTCAACTTTTTAGTGAAATAACTGTCAGACCAGCAGTGAAAACAGTATGGCATCGTGGTGGCCACTGCAAAATTTGAGTAAATGGCAGAAACAGGAATTAAAACAGTCACTGTGTGACTGTGTAATCTCAAGTAATGTGAGGGCTGTATAACTTGGATCAATAGCAATTAAACAGCTCATTTGTTTTTTAACAATTAGAGATACTAAAGGTACTAAATGCTGCAGTTTGAAATAATGAGTAAACACAAGTCTATTCTTGCGTTGCTGCAGACCAGTGGTATACATTCTGCTCAAGCATAACTCACGTGTGTCACCATTCTTTTAAGAGAAATTAGGAAAACAGTGAAATAAATCTTTAATTAGTTCAGCTGTTACAGTAATTTTTTTTTCCCATAAACTTTGATGCTGCTATTGCCCTGCTTGGATTTCTGATAAAAAAAGGGTAGGAAACCTGGAAGACACCTATTTGTGAAAGACCTCTGATGTTGCTTTCCGTCTATTTCTTTCCTGACTAGTCATTTGCAGTGATATTTCAATGCAACATTCATAGTTTTGTCTAAATTGTTGGTTTGCAGTTGCTTTAGGCTGCTATTTTTGCAGTTTGAAGTAGCTGTTAAGTGTGAAAGGTAATACCCTTATAAAAAGCAGAGCTTTGCTTTGCTATTCTGTGTGCACTGATATACTTGATTTTCATTAGATTTAGGTATGAAACAAAAACAGTATTAAGTGCTTAAGGTGCTAGATAGATTAAGTCTGGAATGTTTTTGTTCCTTTTGAGTCATCTGTCACCTTAAAAGGTCTTCTTTTTCCCTGATACTGCTAATATTTCATACCACAAGTCCTCTTATAATGTATTTCCTGCCTCCTGGTCAGGATGAGTAGTATTGCTAGTTTCATGTGGGGTTACAGTCCCTTGAGCAAGCAATGATGTGTGACATCTCACTTTTTCTGGCCCTCAGAAAAACTGCTTGACCCAGAACCTGCAGGAGACTGGCACTCAGCTCCTGGCAGTCTGGCACACCTCGTCCAGACAAGACAGGGACAGCAGCAGTAGGTTTGGAGATGGCTACAGATACTGCAAGTGTCATTCTTACAATTTTAACTGTAGAGTGAATGTCTACCTGCCATCATTTCTGTGTGGCTTCATAATTTAGAAGCCTGCAATACTGATTGCACTACAGAAAACACTTCTTCCATCTATTAGAAAAGATGGCAGCTTATTCCAACAGGTTATGGATCTGGTCTTGATTATTCACGATCTTTTCATGGAGGTTTGTTCTCAGCTGCAAATCCTGCTTAGGTTAGTACTTTATGTTTGTTGAAACAATACGTAGTTGGCATGGGAAGGAGATTCATCACCAATCTCGAGTCGATAAAATTACAAGTTTACTATATCAATAGTATTTTTCTTTCATCCTACAGTTAATACTGATTGTGATTGGCGCTATAACAGTAGTCTCAATATTACAACCCTACATCTTCCTGGCATCAGTGCCTGTGATAGCAGCCTTTATTGTGTTAAGGGCATACTTCCTCCACACTTCTCAGCAGCTGAAACAACTGGAATCTGAAGGTAGGAGCAGCAAAGTTGGTAGATGTCTAAATCCACAACAAATCAATTGAGAAGTGATTCACCCTTTCACCTCTTCTTTGCTTTTTCTCTTGCAAGATGCCATTGTCTCTGGGAGCAGAACACGTATCTCCTTAAAGCCAGTGCTGTTACTGGTCCAGCAAATACTGAGTGTTCTGCTGCCAAAGAGCAATGGAGAAGATCTTTTTAAAACTGGGTTTTATCACTGCTGCAGCTGAAAACAAATGAAGTCCTGACGTACAGTTTTCTTGAGAGTAAACATTACTTGAAAATTTGTGGTCAGACTTGATATGTGCCCTATGAGTTTGTTTCTTTAGAAGACAAATTTAGAATGGATATATCTTGATTGCAAAGAATTCTTATTTTTGGATAAGCTATTTGACTAAATTTTATTCCTCTCCCCCATTAAGAGACTAACACATTCCCAATAAAACGGAAAACCTCATTCTGAAGTGTGGGTTTTCAGATCAGGCACTGTGGCCTGGCTTTACAACAAACTGGCAGATCTTCAGCAAATCAGCCCTGAATCTTAAACGCTGATGATCATCTTTCCTTTTTACTTACCTGTAATTCTTAAGTTCCTCAGATCTAAATTTCTTTGATGTTCACAGGGATCTAGCCTTGGCTCACCACTTTTTATGTAATGCAAGATCTGCTCAAAATTACCATGTCAGTACAGCTGAGTCCAGAGCATTAAAGTACTCTGTCTGCGCTAAAAAGACTTCACTTGATGGAGTTATCAGAATTGCAGGAATTAATTTTGGCTGGGAAGGAGCCGCCTTTCTCTTGTGGCATCTTACAGCAGGCCAGGAGCTTCCCCAAGTAGTGTGCTGACTTTGAAGAATTAATATGATCCCTTCCTGGTAGTACACTGGATGGAATTTCAGTCCATTCATGCAAAGACTGTGGTTGTATATCCTGTGCCAGGATTACTTCCGTCGTGTACTCCAACAGCTATAGTTACTATAAGAGTTACTAACAATAGTTACACTGCTGTGAATTAGAGCATAGAGCTGTGTATTTGCATTATATCAAAGGTATTTACCTGTGAATGTTTATGATATTTCTAATTTAAACACTTTGCAGCTCGGAGTCCAATATTCACCCATCTTGTTACAAGCTTAAAAGGGCTGTGGACGCTGAGAGCTTTTGGACGGCAGCCGTATTTTGAGACCTTATTTCACAAAGCCCTGAACCTTCACACAGCAAACTGGTTTCTCTACCTGTCCACGCTGCGCTGGTTCCAGATGAGGATAGAAATTATTTTTGTTGTCTTTTTTGTTGCTGTGGCATTCATCTCTATCATAACTACAGGTATGGTAACTTTACTAGCATACTGAAATGGAAGTCTTCTGCTTCTGTGTAACAGCTCAGCTTTAGAAACTTCAGAGGGAAATCATTGCAAAATTTAGCATACGTTGGAGTCACTGATTTACATATGTCATACTAGTAAACACAATTTAATTAAAATAGAAATGACACTATTATTATCTGCAATCTGATGTTGTAGAGTCCTCATTAAAGGGATTAATATTAAAATAATATCGGAAGGGACAGAACTTTCCTTTTATTGACTGCAATTGCTGTAAAAGCAATCTCATGTGCTTTAAGCCACATTAATGTAACCACGCTAGTGTACTCAAAAGCTAGTATGTTGATTATCATCTGTATAGCTCAAAGTTTTTTAGTAAATAGAGGTTAATGTTCCTCTCATTTGCAAATGGCTAAGACATGCGAAGTTTTAATGATCTTTTACAGCCACACCAATAGCAGAAATAGTCATACAAGTTCTCTGATTCCCAGCCCACTGACCCATTCTCCAAGGTGAAGTTTTGCAAATTCCATTCTATTAAAAATGGCTCACCTCTCCTAGTAAACCCAGTGCATAAATGAGAATCCCTCTGTACCATACTATCTTAGTTGCATTTGAAATGCTGCCCGTGGCTGGCCAGGCTTAGCCAGTCTCCAACAAGATAGGAGATGAGTATCCCCAAAATGTAGGAATAATTAATTTCTGTGGAAAAACTCAGCACGTTTAGCTACAGATTACTTCAAATACAGTTTTTAATTCACTCTGCTTTTGTAGCTCTCTCATGTTTATGCTGAACTTTATGTGCAGGATCTGGATGCAGTTTCAATACTGATTGCTGATGAACACAATTTGCTGATTTTGTGGAGGATTTTGGTTCTAACAATATCCAAATTTCATTTGGTCATAATTCAGTGTCAAAAAGGAGTTATATAAAAGTGTATGTTTTATGGAATATAGTATTGTGTTTGAAATGCTATCCTCTATTTCTTGTATAAGAAGCTCTCCTGATTCTTAGAAAAAAAAATCTGACCACACAAATACTTCTGTATGAAATTATGCACCTACAGTACTTCTGTTACAAAGGAAATTTTTAATTCCCCTAAGATTCATAGGGAAACAATATCCCCTGCTGCCCTTCTGATTTTTTACTTTGTGCACTTAGTAGTTTGTGGTTTTTTAGAAAAACTGTTTATTGTGTTACTGTTTTTCTGAATATTTTATTTAGAAAAGAGGTTAGAAGCACTTTTTAAAAATGTGAAAAATTGTCTCCTTGCCCCCATTGTAAACGCTACTGTTATGGGTAATATATCCTTAGAGCAACACTAAATTACTTTTCTTAATCTGTCAGCTTTCAGGAGGAATATTTTGATTTTATTGTTTATTTCTATAATTACTCTGACAATGAGATGTCTTCAAGCAAAACAGGAGGAAGTTTGTTGAAGAAAGCCATAGAAGAAATGGAGAAGTCATAGAAAAGCATTTGGCTTAGGTTCTCGATTCCATTTAACACATAGTGAGATTAAAAATCAACAGTGGTGTAATTTAAATGCTTATATTCTGTTGTATGACCTTATAAAGGAAAATCCCTGGAAAATCCCATGCTTGTTACACCAGACAACTAAAGTATAAGAATTTATATCTGCATTTTTGTGCACTGGTAATGAGAACATGTCCTTTATTTGTCCGAGAAATGAAAATGTCAACCAGTGCAGCTATTTTGAATTTTAAAGTTGATAGCTGTGGTATTTTAGTCAGATAAGAGTCATTTCACAGTTACATATGTATTAGAAACAGGAAATCGAAATCAGGATTGAAAAGGCCTGATTCTGTTCACAGTTTAAGTACCAAGTTGGTTTTTTTTCTTCTGCCAAAGTAAGATCAGGATTTCTAGTGAATTCAGTGCCAGAGCCATGTGTTTAACTGTTGATTAAGCTCTCGATCCTTCGTGTAATTAACAAATCCATGTTTTCTCAATGGAATAAAAAAGGAGAGAATGCGAATATGTATTTTAAGATATACATGGTAATTTTCTGACTTCTATTGGCTTTTTATTTGCATATAAATTGAATTTGTTTTTCTCTCTGCAGGTGATGGACCAGGTAGAGTTGGCATTATTCTTACTTTAGCTATGAACATCATGGGAACCTTGCAGTGGGCAGTAAACTCAAGCATAGATGTCGATAGTTTGGTAAGCATAAAATGCACAATGCTGTGCTTTCTTTTGAGGAATTGCCTTATTTTGTTGAATATGGGTGTTCAGTGAGTTACTTTCAGAGTTGAATATCAGGAAGATGTGTCAGAAAAGTTCCACTCATACCTGTCATAGCAACCTATGGCTTTGGCACAGCACAAACTGAGTTTTTCTGTGATCAAAAATTTTCCTGGACTAGAATAGGCAACAGCAAATAATTGCATTTGAAGATTGAGATTGCAGATATAGCAGTGATGGGAAAACTTCAGAAAGGCTTAGAGTTGGTTTTTTATGGTTATATACCTTACCAAGTTATATTATATACCTCATTTAGTCTACTTAAGGGCTTTGCACAGCAGATAACGATGGTTGTTCTTGAGCTCCATCCACACAAAGTTAGTGATTTAAAAATCTGTCCTAGATTTCCCTGGGTGTCTTTTTCTGGTTTTGTGTAAAATACCTTCTGACATAAGGCTTTGGAGCTGTACAGGTTTGCTCCTTTAATTTGCATAGTTAGTCCATTAGTTAGGATTGACTTTAAAACAGAGTATTTCATAAGGTTAACTCATTATCACCTATTTGTTGAGATATGAGAAGCAGACAGGAAACTCATAAAGGAATATGTTTGTTCTTGCAGTTTTCATCATACCTTAGCTTAAATTTATGAAAGTTGTAGATGTTATTTTAAATGTAATAGTTACTTCTATCTTTAGACGTCAGGCATTCTAGGATTTATTTTAGATGGAATTCTTGTAACAAAATACAGTAGTCTTATAAACAAAAAAAAATTCTGAGGAAAAAAAGCCACCCATATCTAGTAATACCTTCTCTGAACCCTATATTAGCTTCTTGAGCCAACCATTTCAGTGTCGGAAAACAAACAGCTTTTACATCAGATCTTGGAGACCATTAAATCCTGATTAGCTGAATTGAGTTGTCATTTAACAAAATATAATTGGGGCAGATGGTAGACAGTGAAGGAATATTTGCCAATGTGACATATTTTTTTTAAAATAAGTGATTCAACCTTATCCTGAAGGAAATCCTTAAGAGAACCAAAACCGGGAATTAACCACTTACAACATCTAATCTCTTGTTTACGTGTGTGGCTGGTGACAGTCCAGAAAGCTGACTGCCATTCAGGGACACATTTTTTCCCTATCCACCAATTGTTTTATGCTGAGTCTCTCTTTGCTTGTTAGAACAGCCTGTCTTGAAGAGTAAGCACTTTGTGAAAGGGATTCTTTGCCGTAGCTGCAAGACACGATGAACAGCAGTTGTGTGCCTGAAGTAAAGCGTACCGTCGGTAAGGCATGACAACAGAAACAACTTCAATCAGCTCTCATTTGTAAACTCCATTTTAGCTCTGTCAGGCATAATTACTTAAGTATACTGAAGATTACTTTAAGTATAACAATCTAGATAAGAATTAAATGCATATATTATATAACTTTATACAAACGGAACGTGTTTCACAAGAGCAATAGAAAGTTTTACTGTAGGAGACATAGTTTTAATAAAGAAGAACTTTCCCCTTTTTAAAATATGTTGATGTTGAAATGTCATCTCTTAGTAGCAATAAGGAAGTAACTCCCTTTCCCTTGAAAAGTAAGTCTCAAGTTGCATTAGACGTTTTTGAGTACTTTTGTCTCTGTTAAGACAAACGACTGTACTGAAGCACCGGTTATATTGTATTAATTACAGCCTTCTAAGGTGCATGAGTTCATAGGTGGATCCTCTGGACTTCTTTCAGCAGTGGATAGCTGCCCACTCCGTCCCATGGATTTTTAAGTATTCCAGATGACAAACTAACAGATATTAGTGGTAGGATGGTTTTCCTAACATTCAAAAGCTGCTCCTGTGCACAAGCAAATAAGAATAGCTTCATGGTTTCAAGCTAATAAAACTGCTTCACTGAGTAATGCATGTGTATTATTTCCCACTCTTTGTATTATCTACATTTAGCATGTCCTTCTTTAAAGTCTTTTACAGTTGTTTGGTTACAGATGTCCTGCAAAGGCTTTCCTGTGTGCCTGACCTAGTAGTCTGTTTGGTTATACTCTTATTTTTTTCTCAAGGAGTACTTTGAAGCTCCCCACGAGACCAAATAGACTAGAATTGACACATGTCCACATGTTTACTGTTACAGATATGCACACACCACTCCAGATGGCATCACTCTTGCCCTTCCTTGAGCAGCTGTGACGTCTGTGCATACAAGCCTGCACATAAGCATGCCTGAACATATAGCACAATTTTAGGTAGCATTCTTTGGTTGTCAGATAAACTGGAGCTTTCTGCAAGTGGTTGAAACCCATGTCCAAAGGCATAGCCACTGTAATTAGTACATAATATTAAGCTTATACTGAGTTGTTTTAGACGATAGACTAAGTATGGGACATCAGTGAAATACTTGCAAACAGGACAGAAAGCCAGGAGAATAGGGAAGCAGGATCATGTGAAAAAGGAAAAAATGTACCGGAAGTAATACTGGCCAAACAGATGGGTAATTGGCAAATTTTACTTTATTCCACACAATCTCCTTCTTGAGCTTTCCATGACACTGGCATATATATTGAAGAAATCTGTGTTTCTAGGTTGGATTTTGGTTTTAGGTACACAGATATTCTCTTGGAAGCAATTTTTGTTGAACTGGTTTGGCTTTAACTGAAAAATAGCCATTGTCTTTTAATACCACATGATGGTTTTGGCATTTCATTCTTTACAGCCCTGATACTTTATCTGCTCTCCTTTTTTAAAGCAAAACAAAACAAAACAACAAAAACATATGTGGTCACTCTGACAGCTATCCATTGTTTTATTTAAAGCTACCAGCTAGGCTAGATTTATCTTTTCACTTTGATCATTTCAATATCTCTTTAGCTGCTTTTCAGTGTTTTTCTTGTCCCTCCAGGCAGTCTTGTAGTATTTTTATCTTTTTTTCCTTCATAAGGAAATAGAAAAGAAGTTTTCCAGTAAGTGCTGCTTTCACAGATAAGCATTGGCTAGTCCCAGTGGACTGTTTTGTGCTTTATAACCTCCTCCTTCACCGATGTGTATCCTGCAGTAGCAGCACTAGAACTGGGAAGGACAGTTCCTTTTATCAGGGAAACAGAAAATGCCATGCTTTTACTGTTGCCAAGATTACTTATGTAAGGAGATATAAAAAGAATCCCCCAAAGAGATATTAAAACCACACTTGCTAAACCTCACAGTGCCACACCCTGTACATCAAGGATGCTGAAGAATTAAAGTAGTACATGGTAGAGAAGAGTACCAAAGAAAAAATTAGGACTGTGAAAGATAACAGTCCGTTTACAGCTGGTTTTCATGCCTTTATTTTCTCATGCTATTTCAACCGTTCAACTGGTATTTTTTTTAACTAGGACATGAACGTAATATGCTTTTAACTACTATCAGCAGAAAACCTGAGAACACTGGTAATTTCCAAAGTTTAAATAGACTGAATACTTGACTGTAAAGTCTGCATCAGAATGACAGTTCTCAAAGTTGAGGTGTTGGTCATCTGGAAGGGATCAGAATCAAGAAAAATCTGTTGGAACATTTTCTTTTCTGCCTGCAAAGCTGTGTGAGAAAGAGCAAAAAAATCAGTATAAGTTTGACATGAACGAAATATTTAATTTTTGCAGTTTGGAAGAGGAGTATATGTCCTATAAGTGCTCCCAAAATGTAACAGCAGAAGATGTGAAACCTCAGTAAAACCATATGGTCTGCCTGCATTGACCCAGTTTTTGCAGTGACTTAATGCACAGGGTTTTTTTTTACTACATGAGCCATTGGCCAGCCTCTCATAGCATCTCTCAGTTGCACCCTGCGCTTTCCAGGCAGCGTGTTTCTGAGGAGATGGCGTCTTGCAGCATGGTCATTGAATACTACGCATGTCTGGTCTGGGGAGGGTAACTGCTGTTTTTCTACCAGAAGAGAACATAGAGCCTGATGAAATTAAATTGCATTAGATTAGTTGTAAAATAATTACTTCTTCCACTTTCTGGAAATATAAGTTACGTAATTATATTATGAATTCTCCTTCAACATCAAGAAGGGTTTAAGTGATATTAATGAGAAAGTAAATTAAAGAATTTGCAATGTTATTAAAATCTCAGTAAAATACAATTAGGCAAGGCTAAAAATAGTGTATTATGCTCTAGACATTTTTAGATGAAAGTAGTAAATATACTCCTTTATTCTAAAGCATTAGTTAGAGAGTGTGAATGTTGCTGATGGGAATAATGGATAAGAAACTTGCTGTCACCTACGCTATACCTGTCATTATGAGTGACAGAAGATTTCTACCTATGAAAGGAAGAATGGATATCTTTGTAAAATGTTGCTGACATTTATGTTACATTCTGCCCAGATCTAAATCATAATGCAAATTACAGAACCAGAAAAGCATCCTTGTGAATTGATTTACAGTATTAAGCTGTCTAAAATATCTGCATATGTGATGTGACAGCTAAATCTGTCAGGAGAGCTGGGACAGAGATGAAATTTTCTGTTGTAAGGGAAGGCTCTTTGTCCAACTGGCTTTATGGCAGATTTTAGCTGGCGTATAATGCTAGGATCTCTCAGGCAGTTATAGGGAATCCATGTCTGTACAAAAGTTCACAGCTCTTGATGGAACCAAGAAAGACCTTCATTTCTGAAGTGATATTTCTAAAAAGATAAGATTTCTGAAAACAAATGTACCACCAAAGATCAAGTAAAGTAAACGCAGTGCTTATTGTGGGGACTTACTAATGATCAGACAAGAAGAAAATTGTTAGTCTGATCCAAGGTCTTCCTGTTTTTATCACCAAAATGAGATGGCATTCATATATCAACATGATGATGACCATACCTTTCCATCTTGTAGAGTCTTTGAAATGGAAATTGCAATTGATAGGCTTGGGTGTTAGCATGCTTTTCAAAACTGTCACAGTTGTGTTTCAAGATGCTGAGATGTAAGCAATTACCCCATTATTTCCTTGCATTACATATACATTTGTTTCCACATGGAAAATCCATCTAACAGTATTTCAATCTGGATCGAAGAGGAAGGAATGGTAATGTATCAAGTAGAATCACTTTGCAGAAGGAATACAAAAGCAGTTTAACAAGGCCAAAGATGTACAAAGAGTTTCCATAATACCACTAAAGAGAGATATATTACTGGGAATATAGATTAGAGAAGAAATGCTAATAATGCGGCCAGATACTCCTGTGTGCATTAGCTATGAAGGTATCTATCTGTTTGTTTATTTATTTTGCTAATTAATTTCTGACCAATAAGAACTGACACTGCCTTATAGTTTACTCTTGATGTTTAAAAAGGTCAAATTTTTGGTAAAATAAGGAATCTAGTTAAATAAGTTGGTTGAACTAAGGTGCTTAGGTACCTGAATGTAGACTAAGGTCACTTCTTCAAGCGAGGGGCTGAAATTTGTTTTCTGCATAGGTGGAGAAAAACAGTAGGAAGTTTTGGAGGCTCTGGGACTACCAGGATGAACAACATTCTCCAAAAGGATATAATGGCAGCCACCACAGAATGCATTGGTTAACCAAAACAAGTTATGCAGTGGAAGTCAAGAAGGAGAGAGAGAAGACAGACGTGACAAAATCAGAGTTAGACTTGCAAATGGCTCAAATTCTGGATAAATAATACTTGATCTCAGTTTTCAGTAAAAGGACAATGTTTGATCTGAGGAGTTCAAAGTGAAGCAGAAGGTAGAAATGGGATTTACAATATCTGAGATGGAAATTATATGCAAAAACTAGCTTTGCTGTAGGCATGTAACTGAAGCTCCTAACCTAGAATCCTAGTCTCCCTAAATTTCCTGTACAGCCCATACACCATCCGTGACTCACTCCATCTAAAATCAGAGTCTTAAACTAAATGTGATTGGCTTCTACAGCTCGGTATTTCAGTTAAACATGTGAAACCGGGATGGAGCAGTGCTGCTGCATGCATGCAGACCAGGTGAGACCAGATGCCCCATCTTAGGGTCCAGGGAGAACTGGCTGAGAAGCTGGTGATCTGGTAATGGCCACTTCAGATGGCGGTGGTGGTGGCACGTGATAGAATAACAACTGTCACTTCTGGTTAAGAAGTAGAACTGGGCAGTCACTGATGCCACCATCAGTTTGTTAGTCTGATGGCAGCAGTCTTTAGAATCTGTATTGAAGGATTAAAAACACAGTGCTTACAGAGTGAATTCACTCAGGTTTGCTGACATTAGGGTTGTGTCAGACTAACCAGATAACTGTGTTCAGTGATTTATTTTCCAAACAAAAGCAATGCAGTAGATCTCATTTGTCTTCAGGAAAGTACTGGCTGTGGCTCTGTTTCAGAAATTATATAAATGAAGGAGATCAGGATTATTACAAGAACTGTAAACTTGTTAATGAGTTGGGCAGAAAGGAAATGGCATTGAGCTGCAAGCATTAAGCTACAGGGAGGCTACTCAACAAAGATTAGGTTTGCGACTGACCTCATTTTAATCTTTTTATAATTCTTTCAACAAAGGAAAAAAAAAGTGTTGAAGAAATCCACCAAAGGCACAAAGCTGAAAGGCAGTGTTAGCATGAAGGATGCTGGGAACTGAAAGATATTAGGTGACCTCAAATGGCTGATATAAAATAGATTTCAGTAGCCAAAGTGTAAGCTTGAATTTAGGGACTACCAAGAATAACCTCTGTTGTAAGGAAGTAAGGGTCTCCTTGGTTAGAAATGGCTGAGGTAGAGGAAAGCTTGGCTAACTGCTGCTTGATCAGAGGGTGACTGTGAGATGTGACTGTGAAGAAAGAGCATGCAATCCTAGGATGTGTTAATCAAGATAATCCCAATATAGATAGGAAAGTATTGATGCCTTTATATCGCTGTATCCCACAGTAGTAGAGGGGAGAAGAGAGAGATCCGGCAGGCAGGAATGGTGCAGCAATAGTGATTTATTTAATTATTTAACAACTCTTTTATAGACTTTTTTCTTCATAGCCTAATTGGTCAAGAGGTCAGCCACCCCACCTGGAGTGATTGGCTGAAATCCTGAAACATCCACCCTGAGAATATTTTTCTACTATACTATAAACAATTCGCAGGTGTTCTTAGTTTACAATAACACTACTGATAGCTTCTGTGAGAGGGAAAAGTTTCACACAGGACAAGAGAGAAGCAAGAGAAGTTCTTGCTATTGCATGTCTGCATCCACACCTTTATACAACATCTTTTTGAAACATTATCCAAAATGCTGTGTACATTCTGGTCAGACAGGAAAGATTAATTTGAACTGGGATATTTGGAAAAGGAGAATGTATGTTAAGAAAGAGGATTAAACCTGAATTTTCTTTAGTTCTGGAGAACAAAGGGTAACTGGATCTAAGATGGCCCTTCATAAATTAATAGGGAAAATAGCTAGGAAAAAACTATTTAAAATTTAAAATTAATAAATACAAAAGAACAAACTGGTCCATAGACTTAAAAATAAGTTTTCTGACTACCTGAGCAGTGAAGTTCTAGTGAAGGAGGTGAATTAACTCTTTATTGATTGACTCTTGACCCATTTTTATGCCTATTAAAAAAAAATCAAGAAGATCCCTTCTAGTCCCATGCTCCTTTGAAAAATTCAACAAGATGTCTATTAGCAACTTCTTCCTGAAGTTCATGAAGTACAGGAATTGCAGTTATTATGGAACATCCTACTATTTTTTTTGTTAAAAGGTATAGATAATGTCTCATAAATATTCAGATGTTAAAATGTGGTGATTTTCCTCTTTACTTGATGCTACTGCTCTACATATAAATTCCACACTTCTGCTGATTTTTGGAGATCAGTCATTATTCAAGGAACTTCAGGTTTTGGCTTGGGCAACCCTCTACAGGAGGAAGGATTTGAAGACTCCAGGGTTGCTTTCATGATCATGCTTTGTTTTCATAAATACGGGTCATCTACAATTTTTAAAATACATTTTAAAAAGTAGAAAGAGTTATCGTGTCCATTTAAAAATTAAGCAAGTGAAATCACATGTTTGAGCAATGTTAATAGTAGAAGAGCAATAGAATCTAGAGGTCTATACAAGAAGTATCCTATCTTTGAAAACTATATCATGGTTTAACTTAAACAGAAAAGAGACTCGCTGTTCTGGCTAGGAATTAGAAATAATTTGATTTCATTTGTTTTGGTAGCTAAGTATTAATTACAATTAGAATACTGTTTGTTTTGATTCCTAGATGCGGTCTGTCGGACGCATATTTAAATTCATCGATATGCCAACAGAAGAGATGAAAAACATTAAGCCACAGAAGAATAACCAGTTTTCAGATGCCCTGGTAATTGAAAACAGGCACGCAAAGGAAGAAAAGAACTGGCCATCCGGGGGCCAAATGACTGTGAAAGACCTGACAGCCAAATACAGTGAAGGAGGAACTGCTGTGTTAGAAAACATTTCTTTTTCAATAAGTTCAGGGCAGAGGGTGAGACACTGTTTTGTTGTGTTTGATCTGACTTCTCTATTAAGCTTACATTATAAACCTATTCATTGAGTAAAGAGTAGGTTGAGTTCAGTAAGGTTTTGTAAATGGAAACATAAATTTGTCACGAAACAAAGTAATCATCTGAAGCACCTGAAGAACAGAAATGTCTTGTGTCTCTTCTTAAAAAGAGCTCATCTGTAGTAGTATTGGCTACAAAAAAAAAAGGTAAGAAAAATCTGGCTTAGTTATCCTAGAAATCTTGAGGCTATTTACACCTCAGTGAGGCACGGTGAGGATGTTTCCTGGCTGTGAGGAGCAGAATGTACTGAGCAGCAGTTCCCTAAGTCATATTCCCATGCCTGAAGTTGTCTACCTTCTCCTCCTGGTGAGAGGGAAGGTTGCAGGTGAGCGCCAATGCTGAGGGCAGCCTGACCCAGGTGAAGCAGGCATGAAAGAACGTCAACTGCTGTGTCAAGGGTAACGCACCGCTGGCTCCGGCAGCCGGCGGGTGGAGGTGCCATTTCACCTGTTTAATGAGGGCTTTACACCACCCCGAATTATTATATAGCAAATCATAAACAGCTCTGTTCTTCAGAAGATTTACAAACCTATGATTAATCTTCAGTTGTAATTTATAATTAATTAACATTATAATGATATTATTAACTTTATATCATTATATATTATATAATCTATATTAACTTTATAATATTATATATTAAATTTATAATAACTTCCTATAATTAACTTCATAATTAATCTTGCAAACCTGTAATTAATCTTGGGCTTGCCTTCAAGAAAAAGCTTTAGTTTCAGGACAGCAATTAGGCAGAGGTTTAATACTTTGCTTTCAGTTCATGCTGCAGGACCATCCTCAGTGGAGTGGTAAGAAAGGTTTGTGCTATAGTTGGAGCCATATGGACAGAGAGGAAATTTTAACTCTAGATGAGAGTGGAGTAGCTCAGCAGTGTGGTTCAAGTACATTCCCTGCTTGGTTTTGTCTGCTGGATGGGGTTTTGCTGAAAAGGACTTCAGAGCTAAAGAAAGGGGAAAGGCACAAAGAGCTGAATTAATCAGTACAAGATAATACATAAGGAAATTTCTGTTCTTCAGCTAAGGGTACGCTAACAAAGAAGAGTGGCCCAGTGTTTTGTTCAGCCCTTGCTGCAGGCTTTTATCATTCCCAAATGAACGACGTTTACTGTCCCATTGAGATCCATTTGGATTGTTCTCCACTGCTGAGATCTCTTTAAGTGTTTCTGCCTTGGTCTGTGGTTAATATGTGAGCAGTATTAAGTGTTTGCTTTCATGATTTGCATTGCAGGTGGGCCTTTTAGGAAGAACTGGTTCAGGAAAAAGCACTTTACTTTTTGCATTTTTAAGACTGTTGAATACAGAAGGGAATATTGAGATTGATGGAGTCTCCTGGAACACGGTCAGCGTGCAGCAATGGAGAAAGGCATTTGGAGTCATTCCTCAGGTAATGAAATTATTGTATATTTGTGTGCTTTTATTTTCTTTGGGTCTATATCCACATGCGCATAATTACTTTTAAGCTGGAAGTTAGTTGTTTTGTGCTGAGAAACAGAAACAAAAGGGAGAGATTTTGTGAAAAGGGGAGTGGGATGGATGGATGCAATGATTCACAGCAAACTCTACTTTTTGAAGGTTTCTGTGCCTCTGACACAAGAACTCTTCTAGAAATGAGGAGGTACAGTGCACTCAAATGTTCATACCCTTCTTATCCCTGCACTTCTGAAACAGTTTGCATGTTGATTCAAAATAAGATAGTGCCACCTGAAAAAAAAAAATACCATCAGTGGTCTTCTCAGCTACTGTTTTCTAAAGTCCTTCATCATACATTATGGTTAACATGTGAATACTGTACATTGTCTGTTTTTCCTGATAGGCCAGTGGCAGAATCACTGCTTTTCTCATATTTTACTAGGCTGCTAGCTGATCCCCATCTGGACTCATCACTTTTTTAGCTGTCACCTCTCCTTACCGTGTCATAGTACATGTACAAGGGGGCACTTAATGTTATTTATGCTTGCAGCAGTCCCAGCATATGGAAGTAATACCATTTCAGAGATTAAAAAGGAGCAGCTCCTAACATGGGTTTAGAGACCCTTATACTCTCACATAGCTGGAACAAGAAAAATAGTCTAGGAAGGAGCTCTGGATTATCTGTCTCAAAGATGAACATTATTGGCTGCATGAAGTAACAGTAAAAAGTGATCACTCACTGTGAAGGTAGGAATAAAAACCGATGGAACAAATGGCATAATTTTAATGCCATGTTTTATGTTTTTGTTGTTGAAAGCTGTCGGTCCTTTCCAGAAACAGTGATACAGGAGTAACACAGATTGGCCTTCTCTTCTTTGAAAGCTATAAACTGGATAGTTCTTCAGCTACTAGACATGCACAGTCTGTTCCATAACAGTGTTCATTCCTTTGGAAATCTTGTGAGTGTGGCAGAACAACTCAAGTTGACTGCAGTCTTACCAATAAGTCGCTTGTGGTACTGGGAGGCAGGGGGACACCAGTTGCAGATCAGCCCACCACGCTTCAAGGGGACATACAGTCTGTCCTGCCTTTATCCACCCTTGAGGGGCAGCTATGAGCCCCAGAGAGTGATAAGGATGGCTGGGTCCTTGTTCATCATTGTTGGCTCATTCCCTGACGGCCAAGGAGTGGGCCAACCAGGGTGACCAAGGATGTCCTTTTAACTGTGAGCTGTCAAATCCTTACTGTGCCTTTCCCCCCATCCCATCCCCACCATAAAGGAGTTGACAGCTGCTTTCTGTGCATATTGGTTTGTTCTCAGATAGTCTGCTGTCTTAGAAAGCTGGTGAGATGCAGTGAACATATGTGTAATGTTGCTGTGCACTGACTACATGAGGTGCTTTAAAATTATTGAAGAGACTTTGAAACAGCCAGCTGATTTAACTAAAAAATATGCTGTCAGGTTTACATTCTCAAAATAGTGTTTTTCTTTTCCATAACTGTCATAGCAGAGCAAAGGTCTGTCTTCACTTTCACCCTCCTCTGGGTATGTACCCTACGACAATACAACAAATCAAACTGATTGCAGTGAAGTCACTAATACAACTGTCACTCAGTTGCTATAGTCAGTCCTGATCTATTTCAGTGTCACGGAGGTGGGATTTAACATCTGTTCCTGATGGCACTGTCTTGGCTTTGGTAGCTGTTAAGAGATGCTGAAATGCTCATGCTGGAAACACAATGGCTTTGATTTTGCAAACATAAGAGAGACTAAAAATTTAATTTTTCTACTTAATGATCAGTTTTGAGTTGTGATAGCTTCTCTTTCAAAAATGTTATCCCACAGTAGCCTGAGTGGCATTTATTTAAAATAGGTGTGCAAAGAAGGCACAACCGTCTCCTCTCCGTGCATTTCCACAATCATGCTCTGAAATTTCACAGAATCACAGAATCACAGAATC